TATATATATATATATATATATATATATATATAACGCGGACACCCAATGAAGTTAGGATAGGCGGTCCATTTTTATGACCCATGAGATTCTAAAAGTTAAAGCCAATACTAGCCTATTGTTCAAGTGTGGACTAACATGGATACAATTGGTTTTGAAAGAATCGAGAAATTATATTTGCACAAAAAGACACCCTTTTGGTCATACTAGCATTCAAATACTCCAAACCTGTCTATTCATGAAAACGAATGCCGATGTTACCAACCTACTCCATTATGTCTCATTTTTATGCCATACACCTTGGTTTAAATGTCACATTAATTTGGTTTTCCCGCCTCCTATATCCCAACGTGTGCATGTATTAAATTTCACCAATTTGCTACAATTTTTTAATGCACCATTTGGTCGACTAATAACACATACATACTTTACAAACACCTAGCCATAGGAGTACGCACCATTCGGTCACCTAGCATCACATGCACACTTTAAAACATCTAGTCGCACATAGGAGGATGCACTATTCGGCCTCCAGTTGTTACGAGACCCTCCTATCCAAACATACACTCATCCAAAACAAATATAGTTGGCCATTCTTGTAGCCAAAATTCTTCTTGAGGATAAGGCCTCCTAAGACATACCCCACGAATGTGACCCAACCAAATCCCTTCGTCTTACATCCTCGAGCTTGGGGGGAAGTGTATTGGAGAACCTTCTACTATTAGAATTATCCTGTCTTAATCAAGGTTAAATAATAAAGGTCCACATTAATCCTAACTAGAACATAAAACCTAGATTACTAGGCTCTGGAGTCAAAAGGCCTATCAGGCCCAAGTATGTCACTATAAATACGATATTGATGGGACATGAAAGGTAGGTATGATTATTTAATGCTATAGTATTTATTGTTCTGCACCGAGTACTGACTTAAGCGTCAGAAAACATCAACGTAAAAGAAGATCAAGTGTTAGAGAACATCAACATAATAGTGTTTCCTAGCAAGAATAGTTTTAATATTCAAAAATCTAAAGATGTTTAGAAAAAATCTTTATGTAGTTGTCACGCCAATCATATTTGTAAGTAAATTATTATTTTTATGATATTATTTATACATATTATAAAAGATATATTTTATTTTTTGTATACATAATTTTTTTAAACTATTTTATTTTTATTTAATAAATAAAAATAATTTTTAAATATCTTTAAATAAGTATTTCTAAATGAATATAAAAGTATAAAATGTCTTGATCACTTGTTAAATTATAAATAAATTGTTTTTAAACAAATTAATATCTTAGAAATCACATAAAAATTAAGATCGAGAATGTTAAAAATAACGTGACACGAATTACGATGAGCCAAAATCCCACAATCATATTATCTAAAAAATAATTATTCAATCCAATGGAATGCTGAATTTATTTATTTTTTTTGATCAAGAACTTATTTTGTTTTTTGATCAAGATGGAATGCTAAATTGAATGCGAACATGGGATGGAAATTGCGCAGATGTTATATAGAATGGTTGAGGTGGTTTGAAATTGAATCAGGAATCTGACTGAGTTGTTGAGTGGACTTTTCTCATTCATTTTGTCTTCTTCTGTCAGATCTCTTTGGATTAGTGTCTAATTCTTACTCTTCTTGGATGCTTTCATTCTTCATTCTTTTGTGTCAGAATCTGATCTCTGCACGTGGGTTCTCTGCCTCTTTCTATATTTGTTTGTTTTGTGTTTCAGTTTGCTGTTTCTGTGTGACGGTGCATAGCACATTTTTACAATCAGATGGGTTTAAATACTTTAAACTCTTGTTATATCATATATGCCCTCATGTTTTGAAATCTGAACTGAATCAGTGAAACTTGGAGTGGAGGGTTCTTTGTTCTTTTCTCAAATTCAACTTTCACACAACTCTATTAATGATGATTCAGGGGGAAAACTAATTCATCGGTTCAAACTAGGTATACCAAGAAATGATTGTTATAATGCTGTTATACGGTGACATGTCTATTTTACTTGTGTAATTGTGTTTTCTTCTATGGCAACAGAGCATGGTATAAGATCTAAAGCTTAATTTTTGCTTGTTAAATAAGAGTGTTTTGGTCCAATGTCATGACAAGAGTGCGCGGAAAGTAGCAACTGTTGTGTATTCTAGCATTGGTATAACTGCTTTATCTTTTGATGGAGGTACTTTTGTTTGAGTCGATAGTATTAGAGTTAATCACCTATACACTGTTAGTATAAAGTTTTTTTACACTGACAACCAAATATATTTCTTAATTGTGTCATGTCATTATAAACACATTTACTTTTAACAGTGACATGGTACAATTAAGAGATATAGTTGATTGTCAGTGTAAAATTTTTTTACACTAACAGTATATATGTGATTAACTCATAGTATTATTATGAACGATAAAACTTTCTCTTTAAGCATTTAAAACATCTGGATACTTAGGATTTGAACTTAAAATTTTGGTTAAATCAAAATAATTCATACCAGTTGATCCATATACTCATGAGTCATGTATTTGAGTCCTAGAATGTAATTAATTTATCAAAAGAATTAATTTCATTGAAGTATGTCATCTATGGATTAATTAGGAGTACACTGATAAAATAATAAGTTTTTCCTAAAACGAGAAAAATTATTAGTTAATTTCAAGTGATTAGTGTCATAGGTATATCAATTAATTTTTAACCTGTAATTATCAAATATTCGTCTACCATCGATTTTTATACCATTGTTGAGTATTTAAGATTCACACACTTATATGATACAGTTTGAGTGTAAACTTTCGTGACTATACTTTTAATCATTTCTCAAAAAATTTCATATTAACGGAAATTATGTATATAATATAAATCTTTATTTGTTTTCATGATTTAATGACGTAAGGCTTCATCATATTCCAACACATCCCAATTAATCTTCATGTAATACAGAATCCAAACTCAATTACGTGTGTAAACAATGATTAGTTTATGAGCGAACAAGTAGATGAATGTGTAGAATCATGGTTTGGTTTCAGGTTGGGTGGTTGGTGTAACGGTTTTCATGATCGAGCGCAACTTCATGCTACGAGAGAAGGTGCTGTACTTCATCTACGGTCTCCGAAACAGCATAAGAAACTGTCTCTGGTTGGGCCAGGTCCTACTCTCCTACTGGAGCGTGGTCTTCGACGACGTCCAAAAGAAGAACCACAAGTTCCTCAACAAGGTCTTCCAGGCCTTGGTGGCGGTCCTAGTGGGCGCCACCATATGGCTGGTCAAGATCGTGCTGGTCAAAATGCTCGCCTCCTCCTTCCACGTCACCACCTACTTCGACAGAATGAAGGAGAGCGTCTTCCATCACTACATTCTAGACACTCTCTCGGGCCCTCCCATGGAGGACGCCGAGGAGATACTCCTCCAGCACTGCCTCGCCGGGTCCAAGTCGATGCCCGCG